TGTTGCTGCTGAGTGCCATCCAACAGAAAGGGAGGTACTTAGAACATTATAGTGTGTCCTCATCCACCTCATTCTTAGATCTGGCACTGTGTAATTTCTGGCTGTTCCAGAAAATTAAAGTGACCATGAAAGGTAAACATTTTGAATTAATTTAGGACATCGAGGCAGCCACACAGTGAAACTAAAGACACTCATGAAAATGGATTTCTAGAACTGCTTCAAAAAGTGGCAAGTACAATAGAATAAATATGTTTGAAGCAAAAGAGGGAGTATTTTGATGGAGATGTATGGCAATATGTCTTACTGTAAATATTTAATTTTTTTTGAGACAAGATCTCCCTTTGTAGTTCAGACTGGCCCTGAAGTATGTAGCCCAGGCTGGCCTCGAACACTTGGTGATCCTTCTGTCTCTGCCTCCCGAGTGCTGACATTGCAGGCATGCGTCCCCATGCCTGGCTGAAAAATATTTTTAAACATTCACTGTATTTTTCTGTCACACTGCGTGCATGTGTGTGTGTGAGTGAGATGTGTGGGGGTTGGTCTGCAGCCACTTTCTGTTCTAGTTGACCTGCCTTAATGTTTCCCTGCTGACTTTCCCTGTCCTTCAGCCATGTTGTGGTCTCTAGGCCCCAGGGCCATTTTCCTCACTGGGATACTTTCCATTCTTTGTTCAGGATTCACAGTAGCCCCAGCCCAGAATAGCTACAAAACAGGTAAATCTGTTTAAAAGAAACAGATTCTCAAGTCCCAATTGAATAGGAGAATTAATATTGACTAATAAAGGAGGGCCAGGGATTTAGCTTAGTGGTGGCACTTCTGCTTTGCAAGTGTAAGGTCCTGAGGTTGATCCCCAGTACCAAAAAAAATATGTTTAATAATAGAGGAATCGAATACCTGTATTGAATTATCTGTGGTTGTCTGAATCTAGAGTTCTGAATAATTGGGAGAATTAGTTTTAAAGTTGAATTCATATAAGTTTCATATACTTTCCTTGCTAATGTGGAAACTCTTAGCTTTCCACTTCCATCACATCAAAAAGCATCTATTGGCCCGGGGATTTAGCTCAGTGGTTCCGGTGCCTGCCTCGCAAGTGCAAGGACCTGAGTTCGATCCCAGGTACCAAAAAAAAAAGCATCTATTAAGTATTTATAAAGTTATGTTAGTTGTGTGGTAGCATCCTTGATTACAGAAGAGCGTCCATTTTGAATCAGGAATTTTACTGTAGCCCCTTGATGATTGGGGCTAGTATAGGTACAGTAGAAAGAGCTACACTGTTGCCAGGGCAACGTGACTTTAAGATCATCTGGTCTCCAGGCAACCTTTTCTACGCTTGCCACAAATAAGTCCCAGGCACTCTCAGAAGAGGCCCTTCCCTGCTTTTCCCTTCCAGTTTTGTGACCTCAGGATGAGCAGAGCCTAAGAAACCATGGAATGAGGCAAGGTTTGGACTGACCGGCTGATGTGCCTACCTCTCCCCCTGCCTCCTTTTTGGTGGTGGGAATGTAACCCATGGCCTGGCTTATGCTAGGCAAGTGTTCTACCACTGGGCTACATCCTCAGCCCCAGCTTTGGGTTTTTGAACTGGCAAAGTATATGGATCAGGTGGTAGGTTATATTTATACTGGAAAAGAAAAATCAGATTACAGAGAAGGAACACCTTCTCCTTATCCTGGTATGTAAAACTTACCGATTACTTAAAAATAGTTACTGTTACCTTTACATATTCTTGATTCTTTTTTTTTTTTTTTTGGTACTGGGGATCAAACTCTGGGACCTTGTGCTTGCAAGGCAGGTGGCAGAACCACTGAGCTAAATCCCCGGCCCTCTTGATTCTTATAAGACTTTTTGAAGACTAATTCCTATCAACTTGTGACTTGCAGATGAAGTGATAGTTTATTCTCTTACCCAGCTCGTGAGAAAGGCATGACTGGCATCTGAAGTGATAGGGCTGGTTTGTTCTTCTGTTTCTGACATCATAAGGGATTACTCTTGCCTTAGACAACATACAGCACAGTTAACTTGTTTAGAGCAGAAAAAAGATGGTAGTTCGAAGGGTATTTGTAGTATGGGAAATCAGCCTACAGATTTTTTCATACCAATCCTTGAGATGCTTACGCTTGCCCCCATATCTCTGAAGAACTTTCAGAGAAGTGAACCTGGCTTCTTGGTTTGGAACAGAAAGGATCTTTCTGCCAGTGCAATTGGGCTACAAGTTTTTATTTATGGTGGTAGCATCCCCCTGAATTCAACAGCTGTTGAATCCATGATAAATTTGGTATTGTCTTTTATTTTTTATTTATTTATTGTTTTTTTTGTACTGGGGATTGAACGCGGGTCCTTGCACTTGCAAACTTGGGTCCTTGTGCTTGCGCAGCAGGCAGCGAAACCACTGAGCTAAATCCCCGGCCCAACTCTTTTTTTTTTTTTTTTTTTTGGTACTGGGGATCGAACTCGGATCCTTGTGCTTGCAAGGCAAGAGGCGGAACCACTGAGCTAAATCCCTGGCCCTATTTGTCCTTTAAAAAAATCATTTTTTGGGGCCAGGGATTTAGCTCAGTGGTACCATGCCTTCCTTGCGGAAGGTCATGAGTTCGATCCCTGATACAAAAAAAAATAATAAAAAAACACTTCTTAGGGCTAGCCTTTTAGTTACTTGTTTAAAGAACTCTGATGCTAAAAAAGTGCTGTTCTTGGGCCAGGAATTTAGCTCAGTGGTGTCACGCCTGCCTCGCAAGCGCAAGGACCCGAGTTTGATCCCCAGTACCAAAAAAAAAAATGGTGTTCTTGGTTTCTCTCATACCTACTGTAGCAACTTCTACATGCCTTAGCTAGCTCCTCTTTTTTTCTGCAGTGTTGGGGATCCACTGAGCTAAATCCCTGGCCAACTTTTCTTTTTATTGTAAAAATAATTTCTTCTCATGGGCTGGAGATTTAGATCAGTGGCACCGCACCTGCCTTGCATGCCCAAGGTCCTGAGTTCAATTCCCAGTACCAAAAAAAAATTTTTTCTTCACTAAATCTTTCGGCATTAGGAAGACAGTGGTCTATTTTTCTACCAGGTTTCTCCAGAATTATGCACATACTCTGAGAATCAGTCTTAAAAGTTAACTCTAATTTGACGTGTTAGAGAGTAGGTGACCTTAAACTTTAGAGGGCTGTGGGCATGGGATGAAGCCGGGGTGGGGTGGGGTGGGGGAATCGGAGGAGCATGGGTTGGTGCTGGGGTGCTTCATTCTAAAGTCCTATTGGAGTGCTTGGGAAGACATATTTTTGTGTAGAATTGATAACCTGTGAAGGTTGAGATTTGGAGGAGATACAAAGGTAGAAAACTTCTTTCACAGCATTTATGATCTAGTGTGGGAGGTAAAATACACACAATAGACCCATATTTTTCCCCCACTGTCCACTAAATACCTGAACTCGGTATTGAGTAAAATAGGAGTTCAGAGAAGGCAGAGGGAGGCAATGGTGGTTAAAAAGGCCTCAGTAGAAGAGGTGAGACCCAAATAATCCCTGAAGGATGGTCACATTTACAAGTAGGAGAGGAGAGAACATTGTATAGGCTGACTGGTGATTCCACATGCCCTATTTCTTACTATTATTCTTCATATCTGTGTTCATTGAGAGTTTTTCAATATTCTTTGTTAGTTTTTATAGAATTTCCCTCCATTAGAACAGGATTTAAATGATTATTACTTGTTAAATTTTTTGAGCAACAGGGTCTCACTGTAGTCCAGACTGATTTTGAACTAGTTATGTAGCTCAGTTGCTTGAACTTGAGATCCTCCTGAGCCTCCTCAGTGTTGGGATTGCAAATGTGTGCCACCGTGCCTGGCTATCTTTAAACTGTTTTGTTGTTGTTGGTCTAAAGCTTTTGTGAGCCATAGCTAACAGCTGGTATTTTATGGGCCTGCCCATTATCCTTGCTGAACTTGAATTTGAATACCCTGGTGAGTGTTGGGCTACTATCCTTGTCTTACTCTTGACCTGACTCAGCCTTGGTGTCACCTATGTGGGACTTGATTTACAACTTCAGATGTTAAGGTTTTGCTGAAAATAGGAAAAGGCACATCTGTTGTTTTGCAGTGCTGGGGATCCATGTCAGAGCTTTTCTCATGCTAAGCAAGGAGTCTGCCATTGAGAGAAGGAGCCTAGTAAAGGAATTTTAAATAAGAGGTTTTCTTTAAGTGAGAAGCTCATCAGAGATTGAGTCTCTTAAGGTGCCTTTTCTCCAAATCTCTTAAAATTTCTTGTGCCCTTTCATCAAAGTAACATCTTGTCCTTTTGTTTTGGGCTACTTTTCTTCTCTTTCCCTCTAGTAGTGTCTGGCTACCTCAGACTGGGCGATTGGCATGGGTTTAGTGATTTTTGAAGCCCGCAAAGGCTTTTTCTGTCATCAGCCTGAAGAATACTTTGAATATAAATGAATGGAAACAGAGGACTAGCAATAAGAAGTTACATTTCAACATAGTTTTCAGTTTGCTTCTCAAATATTTTCTTTCTTTCTTTCTTTTTCCTATGTTGAGATAGTTTTGTGGCATAGTAAACTCTGAGTGTCTGGTTGAGACTGGGATAGAAACTTGGGGAACTCCTAGTTCACTTCTCAGCTCTCTGAAGCCACTCTCTTGAGTCTCGGTATTTTGGTCCTAGCTTCATGAAGATGAAATGGGCATTTGTCAGTATTTGTGATAGTCTTGAATACAACACTGAATGTGTCAGGTGTTTATAACCTGCAAGGCAGTTAGGAGAGAACATAATTTTCTTACCTTTGACTCTAGGGCAGTAGGTTGGTTCTTTCCAACCTACTTTCCTGCGGTGAGGATTGGTACAAGTTGGGTAAAGGCTGAGGATGATGAGTAGAACTTACTGGGTTTCACCTTCTGCTGTGGTGCTTGGAAGAAATGCTAGCAGCGAGGCCGTCTTAGAAAGGCAAGAGATGGAAGGGCCAAAGCACACGCCCTCTGCGGAAGGCCTTCATGTGTCACCATCCTCCTTGGCAGGCACTGAGCGACCGCTTCAGTGGGGAAATTCCTGATGACCAGATGGCACACACCTCCTTTTTCCCAGATGAGTACTTCACCTGCTCTTCCGTGTGCCTCAGCTGTGGGTAAGTGAGGCCAGCCATGGCCGGGCCTTACCTTGGGACTTGGGACTCGGAGTGGTGCTTCCAGACTTGCATGCATGCCAGTCTCCTGGGATCTGGTTAAATGACAGGTGTGATTTAAATGTACCATCTAGAGTGTGAGGCCCAAGACGGTACATTTCCAGCAAGTACCCAGGTGATCTTGGTGGATAACAAGGGCTTCAAGGGGTTATTAAGAATCCCCTGAAGAGTTCCAACTGGTAAAGTTGACTGGTGTTTGGCTTGGGCAGTGTTTATGGCAGAGCACTTTGGGTTGCCTGCTTTCGTCTTTCTTTAACGAGAGCTTTCAGTCATTTATTCATAGTATTCAATTTATTCAACTAATAGTTGAGTGCTCATGCCCCACTGTGTGCACTGTGGTAACTGTAGGTATTGATCCTAGGTGATTCTTTCATTATGGGGGCAAATGATTGGTGCATATTGGAATTTCCCAGGGAGCTTTCAGAATTATTGAGGCCAGGTCCCCTCTTCTAGGGATTCTCAATGGATCTCACCATTGGTGTATTTAAAAGGCTTCTCAGATGATTCTTATGTGTAGCTTGAGCTGGGAACATTGACTTAGGGCAGTGCCTCTCACATTTAACCTGCATGTGAGTTGTTAAAATACAGATTCAGAGTGTACAGGTTGGGTAGGGCCCAAGATTATTCTGTATCAGAATTAGAGCAGTGATTGTCAAAATTTTAGCATGTATCAGAAAAATCTGAAGAATGTGTTAAAATAGATTGTTGGTCTTTGCCTGCATATTTTCTGATTCAGTCAATCAGAAGAATATGTTATTTCAGTATATTCCCAGGTGATGGGGGAATTTGCTTGTGGGGGGACCACACCTGAAGGTCGCTGCATTAGTTTAAGCTATTGATGGCTGCTACATGACAGTCTGGTGCGACATGTTTGATGGGGCCCGGTGTGTGTCCAGGTTAGATGGCACTCTTCATGTCCCGAAGACACTCCTCTAGTCCCCTCACCATTGGATTTTCTTTGCTTATATCAGGACCACTGCCCATGTTGTCCACACTTGTCCATCTACCAGAAGACACCTGAGCCTACCTCTCTTATGAATGGGATTTTGGCATTGAACCCTACCATGTCTGACTTGTATGAAAAGTCTTGGCTCTTAGATTATACTGTGTGGGCTACAGGAGAACTAGGGATTATCTTGAGTTCAGCTTGTACATGGGAGAGGGATATTATTTGCCACTGGGATGTAATTTTTGCTCTTCCTATGAGCAGCATTAGGGGCCTAAGCACTATTGGACCATTGTTTTTCCAGTAGATTTTTTTTCTTTTTTTTCTTTTTTGGTACCAGAGATCGAACTCGGGTCCTTGTGTTTGTGCAACAGGCGGCTAAACCACTAAGCTAAATCCCCGGCAGGACCATTGTTTTTCTACTTTTTATTTCATTTTATTTTATTTTTTGGTTTTTTGAGGCAGGGGTCTCCCTTTGTAGTTCAGGCCCAGCCAGAACTATGTAGCCCAGGCTGGCCTTGAACTCGAGGTGATCCTCCTCCCTCAGCCTCCCCAGTGCTGGGATTACAGGCGTGTGCCCCCACGCCTGGCTCATTGTTTTTCTATTGTGAGCCTCACCAGGGTTTCCAGACTTTTCCCTTTTAATGCTGTGAAATTCTAAAGTCTTGATTTGTGTTTTTGCCCTGTCAGGATTGCAGAGCTCACTGTTCATTTGGAAGTTTTTCTTATTCACCATAAACCTCCCCTTAATGCATCGCCTACTTTTTGGGTTGGTTTTCATTTTCTATTTTGGCACCCAGTTTTGGTTTAACTTTCCATTTCATCCTTTTTGGATTTTTTTTTTTCTTTTTTTTTTTTGTACTGGGAATTGAACTCAGGACCTTGTGCTTGCAAGGCAGGGGCAGTGCCACTGAGCTAAATCCTGGCCCTGGATTTTTTCTGTTCAGTTTTTTGGTTTTTTGGTACCGGGGATCGAACTCAGGTCTTTGCATTTGTGTAGCAGGCGGCAAAACCACTGAGCTAAATCCCCGGCCCTTTTGTATTCAGTTTTAATCTCTGGTCAAGTTGGTATTTTCTGTTCTTCATTCTGCTGAAGGCTAGGTCAATTTTCGGTGAAGAGTTTCCTTTCCCCCTTTTTCTACTTATGAGGGCAGTAGTCACTCTACTTCTGTCATGCTATTGATGACAAGTGTCATGTAGGTTTCTGAGGTGTGAGCTGCCTTTTCTATGCTCAGCATGCAAGGCCCAGTTAGTAACCATGTCTGATTTAAGGCCTGTGCCTGGGGCAGGGTGAGACTCTTGTATATGTGGCATTGGCTCCTTGAGCTGTCTCACTGTCCATTTTTGTGTTTCCCTTAGGGTTGGATGTAAGAACAGTATGAACCATGCGAAGGAAGGAGTGCCTCACGAAGCCAAGAGCCGATGCAGTTACTCCCACCAGTACGACAACCGAGTTTATACCTGCAAGGTGAGTCTTCCCAGCTTCTCTTGCTCCTGCGGCAGCTTGCTAGACACTTTCCTTTTGGGGAAATTGTCCTTTGCTGCCAAATACGCCCAAGTATTTGATATTCAAATTGAATTATCTTTGGAATTTGAAAGCCAGTTCTAACCAAAAGAACTCACACATCTTCATTGCCAGAGCCTCCACTGTTTTTTTTTTTAATGCGTTTTCTTCCCTCTGTTGAGCTTGTATGTAAGGATCATATACATTGACTGTTCGCTTTTGTCTGGAGCAGAAGTGCTTCTCAGGAAATCAGTTTGAAGGATTTCTCCTGCCTGACATGTGTGTAATTTAGAGCTCAGGTTTGGGGCTGGGTCTGGGTACACAGTTCATTATCTTTCAGGGCACTTGCTTCTTTAGAGAAATGAACCTCCTTCTGAGGTATTAAACTCTGAAAGTGTCACCCCAGCTGGTATGGTTTGTGGGGATGGGGGACGTGAAGAGGCCAGGGGGTCTGGTGTACCTGGAAAAAGCTGGCAGAGTGCTCCCTGTTTCAGGCCTGCTATGAGAGAGGCAAGGAAGTCAGCGTAGTACCCAAAACATCTGCTTCCACCGACTCTCCTTGGATGGGTCTTGCAAAATATGCCTGGTCTGGGTGAGTTTAAACATCTTAGCTAAAGGTTTTTTGGTGTTTGTCTCCTCAGCACGTAGCTGGGTAACATTATTTACTTGTCTCCTGCATAGGTACGTGATTGAATGTCCTAACTGTGGTGTGGTCTATCGGAGCCGGCAGTACTGGTTTGGGAACCAAGATCCTGTGGATACAGTGGTGCGGACAGAGATTGTGCATGTGTGGCCTGGAGTAAGAACTATTGTATTAATTTTCCTTCTTTCTCTCTCAGGTTTTTTTTTTTTTTTTTTTTGCAATGCTAGGGATGGAACCCAGGGGCTTGAACTTTCGAGGCAAGCACTCTACCATTGAGCTACATCCCCAACCCTCTTCTTTCTTCTGAATATTTCAGTTGTCATGTGTGGGGAGGAGTGGGGCTTGGTTAGAAGAAAGGTCACCCGTGAGTTTCAGTACATCAGTGGTTTAGAAAGGCATCATTTGGATAGCCTTCCCTATTCCAGACCTAAATTTTTGTTTCTTGCATAAATAGTAGGAGCACAACTCTAAATGATGTAAACTAAAAGTTAATCTGTCATTCTCCTTTGGCAAATAAAACCTCATTTTATGTTTGTTTTCTTGTTTTCCATATGCATGTTTTCATAGATGTAATTATAACTTACTTGCTTATTTGTTATGGGACTTTGTCTACCACCCAGAATGAGCCTGATCTCATCTGACCTTGGAAGCCAAGAAGCTTGGACTTATTTAGTACTTGGGCGGGAAGTGAGGCCTTGCTATTTTGCCTGGGCTGGCTTTGAACTAGGTTCAGGGGTTCCTCTTTCTTCAGCCTCCTGAGTAGCTGGGACCACAAGTGACTGCCATCACACCTGACACAATTATAGTTTACATGCCATTTTTCTGCCTTTTTTTCCATAACACAGTGTGTTTTGTTTGGTTATGTAGTTCGATTTGCCATTTTTTTAGTTTTGGGTATTTATGCTGTTTATCCTTTTTTTGTACCAGGGATCGAACTCAGGACCTTGCCCCTTGCGAGGCAGGCGGCAGCACCACTGAGCTAAATCCCTGGCCCCGTTTATCATTTTTTATTATCAACAGAAATGCTGTAATGACCATCTTCTTGTAAGAAACCCATTTCTTTTTTTTTTTTTTTCTTTTTGTATATCCTTTTATTGGTACATTTTAGTTGTACAATATAATGACATTCATCATTGGAAATTTTCACCTTTACATAATCTCTCTTGGTTTTTATTTTTTCCCCATTCCCCTGCCCTCCCTTCAACCCCTCCATCCCTCCCTATTTACAAAGACTTTGTTTCCTTTTTTCCATTTTCTCATATTAATTTCATTCCCTTCTTTCCTTTCCCCTACCCCTCCCACTTCCCCTTCCCCTTTGCCCCTTTTCTTCCTATTTCACATTATCTATTATAAGAAGGCCATTTCTTTATCCTCTGAAATTTTCTTGGCATATAGTCTAGGAATTGGGATTATGGTAGACCTTTAATTACTATTTTTAATTTTATTATTATTATTATTATTATTTTGGTACCAGGGATTGAACTCAGGACCTTGTGCTTGTGAGGCAGGCGGTGGAACCACTGAGCTAAATCCCGGGCCCTTACTTTGATTTTCAAATTTAAGATAACAGATAAACAAATCTGTTTAGGAGATGGTGGTTTGTTTGGTAGTTTTATTCTGCATCAGCTCACTATTTGCAACCAGCCTTGGTTTTCTGCACCTAGTCTCAGCTTTTGTGAGGCTGAGGCAGGAGGATCACTTGAGCCCAAGAGTTTGAGGCCAGCATGAGCAGCATAGAAAGAGGACAGAGACAGAGGTGGGGCTAGGGAGGGAATCTGACTATTCACACTTAAGAGTTATTTTCTAAGAAAATTATTTTGCTCTCTTGTTCCCCTTGCTGTCTAATGCCTATAGCTACTATTCATCTTCGCAGTCTTGTTAGTCATCTTTCCATTACTGTAACAAATACCTGAGACAATCACCTTGTAAAGAGGAAAGTTTTACTTTGGCTCACAGGTTTAGAGGCATCAGGCCATGACTGGTTAGCTCTGTTGCTTTGGACATGCAGTGGCACACTGTATCATGGAGGAAGCCTGTTCACCTCAGAGAAAGAGACGAGCACCCTACAGTCCTCTTCTGGGACATGGTGCCAGTGACCTTAAACCTCCTACTAGATCCCAACTTCTTAAAAGTTTCTACCTCCTCCCAGTAGAGCCAATCTGAAGATAAAGCCTTAAGCACATGGGCCTGGCAGGGAGGACATTCCATATCCAAGCTATAGTCCTACCTGCAGTGGTGTCTTCGACTGTTCCTGGATCTACAGGTGCATAAAACCAAGGATTTCCTTATTTTGTGCATGCAGGTAAACCCATTTCTGGGTCTACTGGGATGTTATTGTAGAGTGGTCTTATTTTTGGAGTCCCACTTGGCCTGATGGTCTCAATCTTGTCCCAAGGATTTAATGTAACCTTAAAGTAAGAAAGTGAAGTATGTATTCCAGGAAAACAGTAGTGCAATAGTTTACTCTTAGTCTGCATCCATCATGGTCCTTGGGATTAGAATACCTTGCTTTCTGCTCATGTTCATGCATTGGTTCTTTATTTTAGCATATGTTGTCAAGTACTATGTTCCCAGAATTGAGCTAGGTACCTTGAAAAAAATTGTTCTCAGAGGTTAAATAGTCTAGCAGGGTGTCAGATAGGTAAGAGATACTGCTTTTACACAGGGATAGGGTTCCTAGGGATATATAGTATGAGAGGAATGGGGAGGAATGTTTCCTAAATGAGCCTGGATGGGGTTGCTTCCTGCAGGACGTGTCACCTCATACATTGTAGGGAGAAGTAAGTCCTGAATTGAACAGGTGCATTTCAGGCTGTAAGATGAATGTTGATGAGCATAAGTCAGTGTTGACAGTTTGGCCGCACTATTGCCTAGAAGCCAGAGAAGTTGCTGGTGCATCTCCGTTCTCTGCAGTGAGGGACTTTGTGTTTCTGAGCTGGCTACCAGCTGCTCCTCTTCCTCCTCCCTTCTGCTCCTCTCACTCAGCATGATGGAAGCCTGCACTTTCATTTCAGACTGATGGGTTTCTGAAGGACAACAACAATGCTGCCCAGCGCCTGTTGGACGGGATGAACTTCATGGCTCAGTCAGTATCCGAGCTTAGCCTTGGGCCCACCAAGGCTGTGACTTCCTGGCTGACAGACCAGATCGCCCCTGCCTACTGGAGGCCCAACTCCCAGATCCTGGTATGGTGTGGCTGGAGACCCCTGCACCCTTGGCACAGCCCACCCTGCTTAGGCTACTTTGCTTGTTCTCTGAGGGAGGTGCAATTTTCGCTCCATGCAATTGGCTTCAGTGGGAGTGTTGGAAAGCGTAGGAGCTTAGAGTCATTCAGTTTCCTCTTGGCTCACTGATTTCCTTATATGTTATTCTGCAAGTATTTTCTTTGTTGTGGGATCTCATTCCTTGCCCTTGAGGGCCATAAATTAATACCGCTCAGATATCAGAGGTCATTGATACAGCCTGAAGAAAGGAGCCTGAAGGTCATTTTGCATTGTCCTCAGCTTACTACATAAATGTCTAGGGCATGCACAGGCAGGGAGCACCCGGCCTCAGTGCACACACCTGTGACAGGAAACTCACTCCCCTTCCTTTCCACTTTCAGATACATCATTACTAGGAAGTTTGGGTCCTGACTGAGCTAAAACCCACCTCTCTGAGTTTCTAGCTGCTCCCTGGGTCTTACTGGCTTTCTGAGCTGAGCAGACACCTACAATTCCTGCCTTTCTGTTTTGTTTTGGGCTTGGAACAGAACTGCAACAAGTGTGCGACATCCTTTAAAGAGAATGACACTAAGCATCACTGTCGGGCCTGTGGAGAGGGCTTTTGTGACAGCTGTTCATCTAAGACCCGGCCAGTGCCTGAGCGCGGCTGGGGACCTGCGCCCGTGCGGGTGTGTGACAACTGCTATGACACCAGGAATGCCCAGTTAGGTAACGTGGGGACCCTGAGGGCTGTAGGCGGACAGGGGGACCCACCTTCCTTTGCACTCACTGGGGTTTAGGAACTGAACTCCCACCATCCCGGTCCTGCCCCGTCACCCTCCCGGCCTTGGCCTGTCATCTTTGAGTTCATTGTTAGTGGAGCCTTGCAGGTGCTGTTTCTCAGGGGACTTGGTCTTGGCTGCACTACACTGAGAGATGCTTCTGAGGGAAGAGTATACACAGAGAAGTTCTGACGTATCGATCCCTTTAGAAGAGAGTTGGAGGTAAAGAGAACAGATGACACACAGTTTTGGTCTGAGCTGGTCTGACCACAGCTCAGACCCTTGTAATCATTGGAGGACAGCACAGTGATGCAGGGAGACGAGTGCCGAAATCTGCTGCTGTGATGCCAACTTTACCATTTGGGAAATGACTGAGGAAACACCTCTTCTTTTGTCACTGTCCACAGATATTACTGAGGCACAGGCAGAAGATGAAGGTGGAACGCTCATTGCTCGGAAGGTGGGCGAGGCTGTGCAGAACACCTTGGGAGCCGTGGTGACAGCCATTGACATACCACTAGGTAGGCTTGGCAGTGCATCTCTTGGCTATAGAATATTAGGATGAAGGGATGCGGGGTGCCCTGGACTGTCATTTTGTCAAAGGCTTGCTAACCCAGATTGAGCTGAACAGCAAGGAATCAATTAAAATTTGACATTTGCTTGCTTCTGCTGAATTTTTTGTGGTTTCATGTTTATTCTGGGAGCTCCTCCCTCACCCCATCAATTGCTGCATAACAAAGTACTGTACCTTGAAATGTAAAGGCCTATATACAGCTATTTTATATCTTACAAATATGTAAGATGGGAAGCATGTTAAAGAATCTACAACACCAACCAAGGTATTAACTTAGCCCAGCTCCAGATGTGAGGGTTATTTGTATCTGGGGTAGGAAGGAGAGGAAGGGAAACTGATTAGTGGGTGGAGGACTTTGGCAGGGTGGCCAGGCCTTGGGTTAGTTTCAAAGTCTCCTCGTGGTGGTGGTGGGGATGGACATGATTTGGATCAGATTTAAACACTACAGCCTATTAAAAAGCAGATGATGAGCTTTTGACTTAGATATAGGAATAGATGGATTTGTCTTGGCTTGAAGCTTAGGTTGCCCTTGCCCTTGGGGTGTGGGAGAGGCGTGGCTCCCCTTGGCCCAGATAGTTTGCTGCCTCTGTTTACCAAGTGCTCACTCCCTGAGTTGAGCACTGGGCCAATGTGTTAGACGTGCCATGATTTATCATCCTCAAAAATAGCTCTTAGAGGCGGATAGCTCAAGATGAGTAAAAGCACTGCATGAAGATTCTGCATGCAGTTGGGATGACAAACCTAAGCATCTGGACGCGTGCCAGCCAGTGGGGACTCAGGGTATCGGGTTTCTGTGTCCTGACCTCCTTATTCCTTCCTTATGCAGGCCTGGTGAAGGATGCAGCCAGGCCAGCGTACTGGGTGCCTGACCACGAAATCCTGCACTGCCACAACTGCCGCAAGGAGTTCAGTGTCAAACTCTCCAAGCACCACTGCAGAGCCTGTGGCCAGGGCTTCTGTGACGAGTGCTCCCACGACCGCCGAGCTGTCCCTTCTCGAGGCTGGGACCATCCAGTTCGAGTCTGCTTCAATTGCAATAAAAAACCCGGTGACCTTTAGCCCCAGCTCCCTCCAGAAGTCCTTCACAATTCCTTAGGTTCTCAGGGTTAGAAACTGGAGTCTCATTGAGATAGGCTCTCCTCCCGGTCACCTGTGGTGTGTCCTCTCCTCCTCTTGTCCTGGGCCCACTTTCCTCAGGTGGGGGTGAGCCTGGCGGCAGGCATGAAGGCGTAACCCTCAGGGCAGGGGGTGGACCAAGTAGCTCTCAGCAAAGGGGAATGAACCTGAATGCATTGCATATGTATCAGTTAAAAATAATTTTTAAAAAATCTATCTCCATTATACATATGAAAGGAATTTGGAATATACTGAGGTTGCTGCTGGCTGCCAGTACTCACCCTGGTGTGTCCCCAGCATAGAGATAAGGACATCTCCACAAAAGGAAGCCAGTTGCATAGCTCTCGTGTTTGCTGGTCACCTTTTGCTGCTTCTCTCTGAGCCTAGGCAGCCTCCCTTCCCCACCTTTTCCCCTCCCACCCCTCTTCTCCTGGAGCTGAGAGCTGTACCCTTCTTGCTATTTCTATGTGGTGAAGCAGCTCAAAGGGAATTCCACTTGGGCCCTTGGGGGAGTTGGATCCCAGTTCTTGGTTTAATCTTGTTTTAGTCAGAGACCACCCAGCTTAGTGTGCAGAGCACTGGAGGGTGCTGAGGGTCAGAAGTTGGGTCTTCAGCCCTGAGAAGTGAAAATGCAGTGGCTGCATTGTCCCTCATGGAGAGTATGGAAGGAACTGGGCTTCTCAGCAGCATTTCCTGCTTGTTGATGCTTCTCTCTCCAGGAGGCCTCCCTAGAAGGCTGCACCCTGCTTCTAAATTAAAGCACCTCCACCCTCCCCTGCCTCCAGCTCATGATCTGCTTCTGGGTGTCACATTAGGGTTTGTTTTGCTTAGTGTCTTCTTTGTTCCAAGACACACAACCTCTCTAGCTATTGGACCGGTGATCGTGAGAAATCGTCCAGGGGAACAGAGCACAGAATGGACTGTCAGTTGTTTTTGTAAGTGTATATAAATATTTCGACAGATCATAAAGAAAAAATTCTATCTCTTTGGTCCTTGTGGAGAAGTCAGATGAATGTTTCTCATCTAGAGCTTGGATATCCATATTTGTCATGACTGGAAAGACTTGTGCTGAAATTCTGTCATCAGGGTGTTTATCTCAAATGGCCAAAAAAAGAAGTAAAGTAACATAGTTCTTGACTGAGCTGGTGGGCTGAGTTTTGGGGAGGTGCATGGGTGGCCGTGCCTGGCATGAGTATCTGTGTGAAGTGTACCCTGTAGTGGGTTGGTCCCTCACAGGCCACCTTCCTGCCTCCCGTGGCCCAGCAACTGAGGCCCTGCTCTAGAACTGTGTATTTTCAAATTCGCCATCATAAAGGAATCTTCCTGCTGAATGTGGACTGTGCTCTTTCCTGTTAACTCACCAGTACTCTTCCACATGCCCTCTTTCCAGGTGATGGGAAAGTAGCTGGTAGCTTGCAAAGCAGAACCCAAGTGAGAGACATAAATCTAGACTGGTAGTGTTTGCCCTGTGTAAATACTTGCTTATTATGCTGACAAATAAGACTTTTTTTCTGGAAAGAAGTATAGCCAAATATCATGAAGTTATCATACGGAGTTGGGTTTTAATCTCGTAACAGACATTCCCCAGCTCTTACGTATAGTTTTTCAGCTGGGGCTAGCACTTCGTGGTTGCCACAAGTATTCCTTTATAAGTGACATCTTATGGTCACAGAATTCTTTGTAGTGACTGGAGGGATCCCCAAGTTCTTACCGTTGGGTCATCCTGTACCTATAGCTTTCCTCTAGCCTTCTCACAGCGGGGTGGGGGGGGGGGGGGGGGGGGGTGGGGGTGGTGAGGGTTAGAGAGTGCCAAAGGGGTCTAGCTAGGCTGTCCTGGCCTCAAGTGGGCCAGTAAGGTAGTGAGTCGGGTACTGCAGCACAGTGGCCGCAGCTTCTTGGGGTCTCTGGGCTTCCCTTTGGTAGCCATGGTGTTGGGGCTTGTGGGGAAACTCAAAGGACGAGGTGGGGTATTACTCCTGATACATAGGTTCCAGGTATACAGTAGGTACTGGCACTCCTCATTTAATGGCAGTTCCAGTCCTGTGACCAGGTTGTTAGCAGAATTGGTCACTAAATGAGGACTTTTACATGGTACGTACGTTACAATATTTAGAACAAAGAAATGACCACAGGAAACACCAATTTGATGACTTTGCTTTTATTTGCGTAACTCTTACATGCAGTACTGTAATGTATAGGAGAACATAAAGGTACAGTACTAAAGCCAGGTGTGGTGACTCATGTGTGTCATCCCAGCACTCTGGAGGCCAAGGCATGAGGATTGGTGTGAGTTTGAGGCCAGCCCGGGCTACATAATGAGACCCTGTCTCAAAAAACGACACAGGACTGGGGTTGTAGCTCAGTATTAGAGGGCTTGCCCAGCATATGTGAGGCCCTGAGTTCAATCCCCAGGACAATAAAGCACACACACAACACACACACAAAAGCAACCCATAGAAACCAACAGAAAACAACAAAAACCCCAATACTGTAGTGTAGAAGACGCTGCCATAAGGCCATACTGTCACCCATGTTCCTGTGTTGCAAGTCCGAGCAGCAGGTAGTTAGGTCCAAATCATCATTAAACAGGTAATTAATAACCTATGGAGGCACTGAAAATTACTTTCTACCTTTTAATGTGGGACTTCCTTTTGCTTCTCCTCCCTTGCCTTGTTTGTCTGACTCCTGTGTCGTCTATCATTTCCCCATTCTCTGTAGCCACCAACATTGGACTCTGTCCCTTTCCCTGCTCCCTTGCTCCATTGCCTTTTCCCTTATCTTCCTCTTTCCTACTCCCTTCCAGCCTTCTCTCATTTTCTGGATGAGTGGGGCAGGGTGGGAATGGTTTGGGGGGAAGGGGTGAAAGGTGGCTGGAAAATACGTCACAGAACTTAGGAGGAAAGGTTTATTTTGGTTCACAGTTATCAGTAGACTCAGTCCATGGTTGGTTGGGTCCAAGGCAAATGGCATGGCAGTACACCACGGTGGAGGGAATCTGCTAACCCTGTGGTAGCCAGGGGGCAGAGAAGGGAGCAGCCACGGATGAGAATACACCTTTGTCATGTCCCTAGTGACCAGGCCCCACCTCCAAACATTTTTGGGAGACATTTTAGATAGAAATCAACATTCTACCTCTGCCTAGAAATCAACATTCTACCTCTGCCTTTCAGAAGGTTCATGCCCATCTCATGCAAGATGAATTTAGTCTGTCTCTAAGAGTTGCTAGAGTCTTAACAGTTCCAGCATCGCTAAAAAGTCAAGTTCAGTCTCTTCTGAGATGTAAGAAAACTGTTAGTTGAGTCTTCTTTTTTTTTTTTTTTACTTTTAAAAATTATTTTTTATTTT